GGAGGAGAAGGAGGAGAAAGAGGAGGAAGGAGTCAGAGGAGAAGGAGAAGGAGGAAGAAGAAGAAGAAGAAGAAGAAGAAGAAGAAGAAGAAGAAGAAGAAGAAGAAGAAGAAGATGAAGAAGAAGAAGAAGAAGGAGAAGAAGAAGAAGGAGAAGAAGAAGAAGGAGAAGGAGAAGGAGGAGGAGGAGGAGGAGGAAGGAGGAGGAAGAGGAGAAGGAGGAGAAAGAGGAGGAAGGAGTCAGAGGAGAAGAAGGAGGAAGAAGAAGAAGAAGAAGAAGAAGAAGAAGAAGAAGATGAAGAAGAAGGAGGAGGAGGAGGAGGAGGAGGAGAAGGAGAAGGAGAAGAAGGAGAGAGGAGAGAAAAGGAGAGAGATGTATTTTTAAAGGTGGGGGTGGACCTGCTGTAAGTTCATCTAGACAATCCGTGTTAGTTCTGAAGGAGAGAGGGGGGAAAAGAGACAAGAGTAAGTACAGTTAGGAAAAATGGAGCATCTAAAACTGAGGAAAAGAAGTCAGCCCCAATTCCAAATGCCCCACTAGTCTAGTTACTGAGGACCGGAAACCCTGCAGGCAGCACTTCCAACAGCGGGTCACTCAGCTGTTATGAGAAGCCCAGGAGACGGGTCACAGGCGTTCAAGAAGGGCTTGGGTGGATATTAAAAGAATTACAATCCTCTTACTGGACTGGCAGTGGGCATGTGCAGAGATGCAGAGCAGAGGCAGCAAGAGTGGATGGATCACAGAGACAGATGCCCTTCTTCGGGGAGAGGGCCTTCTCCAGTTCCCCCAGCCCCCAATTCTCCCAGGGCTATAAATTCGGGGATGGAAGCATAAGCCCAGAAGGTGCTAGTTAATTGCAATAGTGCAGCGAAAGCCTGCCTGCCTTGCAGGGAGAGAGGCACGGCTTCCACACCTGGGGCCCTCCCCAGGGTGGAAAATATTGCCACCACATGAATACAACCCGGCCTCAGATGCGCGCCATTGTGATCCCCAGTAAGATTCCTTTTCTGGTCCCCAGATCAGCAACAATGCAGAACTCGCCATTCGAGGCACAAATAAAAATGTTAGGCGATTTGGGGGGCAGAAGTGAAGCAAGTTTGCTTTCTGTACTCATGCACAGGGGACATTCCTACAGATTGCAGATTGCCATTGAATTTAGACCTTCTTCTAGACAGAAACGAGCATCTGCTTCTTCCGCCCACTGGCAGAATCCTTGCAAAGGATCTGGCCAGAACCCAGAGATGCTCTCAGACCTTCTTGTGATGGTCAGTTCCACTGCTCCAACCCACCCACTCACCACCACCTAGTCCTTTTGGGTGGATGGAGGCAGCACAGGCCGGAGTCAGAGAGGCCCGAGTCCCTGTGCTTCGGCCACATTGCACCAACATGTTCTGGCCACTCACAGACCAAAAATTACCCTGGCAGCCTGGCTTCTTGGCTTTCTCGGCTTCTAGTTCTGAGTTGCAGGATGTCTGGGCTCTGCTAACAAAGCTCTTTGCTTGTCTCCCCTGTCCAAGGGGAGAGATGGGCAGCATTTCCCCTGCATCTCTCCATCCCACTGCAGCCGAGTGCGGGAGGATGCGTGAGCCGGCCGACGCAGCCGCGTTGCTTCCTCTGCCCATCCAGCCCTAGTCTCGGCCAGCTCCAGAGTGGCCCAGCCCCTCGGCTCAGCCCCTTGACCTCCACCCCCACCACCTCAGGGAAGGAGGTCACCAGCGGCCGCTGCGGGGGAGGCACCCACTCGGGGCTGGGTAGGAGCGAGAGTGCGCGTGTGCAACCCGGTGCGCGCACCCCGCCGACCCAGGGGAAGGATGCTTGCAAATCCCTCCTCCACTAGCATCCCCCTCTAACCCCACTCCAACAGCTCCTGCTGCTCCCTCCAGGCGCCCCTCCCCCCCTTTACCCCTTCCAGGGCAACTGTCCTGCCCGCAACCCAGGCGTCCTCCTCCCCACTCCCCGGACACCCGTAATCCCGGGGAGCCTCCTGAGAGCGGGGGAGAGAGGACCAAGGGAGAAGGAGAACCGAGTAGTGGGGGAGGGACAGAGAAGGGAGGAGGAGGGGGGACCTCCCGGGAAACCCAGCCTGAGGATCCCAGAGTTCGGGTCCATAATGTGAGTTGGTGTGTGTGGCTCTGCTGTGTGTGCTGTTTCCGTGTGCTGTCTTTCTGGTTGGTGTGTGTGTGTGTGTGTGTGTGTGCGTGTGCGTGTGTGTGTGTGTGTGTG